GAAATAATAAGTAAAATTGACGTTAAGAGGAGCAAACTTTGGATCGCTCTCCTGATTAAACTATGGAGACCGCATTTCCCAGTACAATTCCTCTGTATTTTGGGGGTTAGAGATCCAAATCCATTGAACAAAAGGTTTGTTTATTTAAAAAAAAAAGTTCGTTTTTGTGATTAGATCAAAAGTTATTCTGGGAGGTCCGTTTTTTAGCATTTTTTAGCAATTGTACATTTGTAAAAACAGCAAGTGACGTACATTTGCTCTCTTGTCCCCCAATGGGCTTGAATGGCTTATAATTCCAAACAATATATGTTTTTCAACATGACACAAAATTCTTTTCCTTCGTTAGAATTCATATTTATATTAAAATCACCCCTAGACAACAGTAATTATCAATAAGTAAGTAAAAATAAGAACATAAGAAATTCTTAAATCAATGTTAACTTGAAAAATACGCGTTAGCGAAAATAAAAGAGAAGAACTCAATTTAAGAAAACAATCAACTCCAAGAAATTCTAAAATTTTGATCTGCTTTTTTTTAACTTTTGACCTTATTTTTCATCATTCTTAAAACTCTTTATTTTAAACTGGATCTAATCGATTAATTTGATCGAGTCAAAGTTGAACATGACACCTCCACCTATCTATCAAGAAAACGACAATCGTTTTCCTAAGGCTAATAAGGGAAAGATAATAGTAACTTTAAATACCAGATGTTATTCTTACGCTTTACAAAACTAACCATGATAGTGTAGAGTGTCTTTCACTACAATTATTAAACATTAATTCACTTGTACATAAGACATGTTAACTCAATTCTATCTTGAGGTACCATTTGATAGATGAACGTGGACATCGTCGGCATTCTAGCTCCCATGGTTGCTACTCAGTCTCTACCACACACAACGGGATCCTGCTCGCACTCGACTGCTAATTGCAACACAGGAGTAATCTCGCACACAACCGTGATCTTAATACAGCTCTCACAATCAGCATACAAAACCCGGTGATTTCAATACAGATCTCACGACTTCTCACTGAAAACAGCAATAAATCAACCAAGTAGTATGGTATCCAATTTTTGAATTCTAGCACAGATAAAATTCTCGTGGGGGAGTACTGTAAAACAGTGTTCCTCAACCCCCGGTCCGCGAACCGGTACCGGTCCGTGGATCAAATGGTGCCGGGCCGCCCATTTCATTTAAACTTAATATAAATTCCTAAGTTTATACCCCAAATTAAAAATATCTGTGTTCCATTAAAATTTTATTTCTTTAAAGAAAGGGGCCCGGAAGGTAGTGACATAAATTTTTTAATGTTTGTATTGTATCATTGTCTCCGATTACCCCTAAATGGAACAGTCTCATTGCTAAGAAACAAGCTCAGAGTTCTCATTGATTTAACGTTCTAGTAAGTTAAAATGTTAAATCATTTTATATTTATTTTTTGGTGCAACTGTATTTTATTTTGAAGGTATGTTTAAATACAATTAATTTAAAATTAATAATTTAAAATAATCTAAAATATAAACAATCAACGCCCCCCCCCCTCCAGCTGGCTGAGGTAAAATTATCAAACGTTGACAGGTCCGCTGTGATAAAAAGATCTCAGAGAACACTGCTGTAGAGTGTTTACCACTACAATTAACTAACTAACTAACTCAGTGGCGCGACAGCCCATTAAGAGGGCCAAGGCCGACTGTGCCCATCTCAGTTTTCTTGACCTTTGGGCTCTGGGGTGCAGGAGCATATGTTCCGGTCAGGTGGTCAGCCGAACGCGGAACCCCCAGTGTTAGTTCCCAAGCATGCTTGGTACTCATTTTATCGACCCACTGAAGGGATGAAAGGCTGAGTCGGCCTTGCCCGGCCCAAGGATCGAACCAAGGACCTGTGGCACGACAGCGCGAAGCGCTACCGCTCAGCAACCGGGCGTCACCACTACAATTAATAAATACTAATTCACAAGTATACATGATAACTCGATTCTATCTAAGGGTAAGTTTTGATTGGTGAAGGTTGGCATTGTCGAAAGCTCTTTTCTCACAATAGCATATTTTTAGGTTTAAATTCGATGATAGTTTTTTTTAACTAACAAGACTAATGAATCACGTAAAAGATAATTTTAATTTCATATTTAAAAAAAAACGCACAAAATACGAGGCCTGTCTAAAAAGTATCCGACCTTAATTTTTCCTGCGCAAAGTAGTGACTCTAAGGCGGCGCCTTAGTGCACAGTGGAAGGAGGAACCTTAATGCACATGACTGAATTTTTTCACCGTGTTCGCTTGTGCAACTCGCTGGCTGGTGGTCGCCAAGTAAGGTGCTGTTCGTAGTGTTCGTCGGATTTAGTTTTCTCGCAAGATGACTGAACGAATTGAGCAAAGATACTGCATCAAATTCTGTCAAAAGCTTGGTGATTCTCAAAGCCAAACAATTCGTAAGATTCAGCAGGTGTTTGGAGAAGAAGCGATGGGTGTAACACAAATTAAGGAGTGGTTCAACCGATTCAAAGATGGCCGCACATCAGCGGAGAGTGAGCAACGTTGTGGCAGGCCTCAAACTGCTCAGAGTGCAGTTAATGTTGAGAGGTTGTGAAATTTGGTGATGGCAGATCGTCGTTTGGCAGTGCGGGAGATTGCAGAAGAGGTTGGAGTGAGTAAAGATTCTGCACAAGCAATTTTGCGTGAAGATTTGAACATGAACCGAGTAGCTGCGAAATTCATACCCAAGTTGTTGTCCCTGGAACAAAAAGACCTCCGTTTTGACGTTGCACAGGACCTTCTGGACACCGCCAACACTGATCCTGGGTTTCTGAATACCGTGAAAACTGGAGATGAGTCATGGGTGTACGGGTACGACCTAGAAACAAAAAGACAGTCGTCGCAATGGAAGCATCCCGATTCTCCAAAGCCGAAGAAAGCGCAGCAGGTGCGAAGCAAAATCAAGGTGATGCTGACTGTTTTCTTTGGTGTCCGTGGAATTGTGCATCGCGAATACGCACATTAAGGACAAACAGTGACAAAGGAGTACTATCAAGATGTTCTCCGGCTACTCCGTGAGGCAGTTCGGCGCAAAAGACCAGACTTGTGGAAGGCGAACAACTGGCACTTGCATCATGCAACGCCTCTGCACATTCATCCTAATTGATCCACACTTTCTTAGGCAAACATGGAATTACAACCATTCGCCAACCTCCCTACTCTTCAGACCTGGCTCCTTGCGACTTCTGGTTGTTTCCAAAATTGAAGACGCCGCTGAAAGGATCCCGTTTTGAGAGTAAAGAAGAGATAATGCGGAACGCGACGACGGAGCTGAACACCATTCCAAAAGAAGACTTCCAGAGGTGTTTCCACTAGTCGAAGGATCGGTGGGCTAAGCGTGTGGAAGCACAAGGGGCCTACTTTGAAGGGGATTAGGGTCCCAACTCCATCAGATATTTGAAATATTTTTTCTGGCCAAAGGTCGGATACTTTTCAGACAGGCCTCGTATCTTTAACAAACGATGTTTTTAATAAGGAAAACGAAAAAATATTATGACTTGCTTAAGTTAATTGTTCATAAAAAAAAGTTTAAAATTGTAAAACTAAAGCAACATTTACATCGAAATTTAAGTTTGTTATAAATTGATAGTACACCAAAAATAATTATAATTATTATGAAGGTGACAATCGGAGCAAACTATCGTGGTATTGTTCAGTACAAAGTTAAACAGAATAATATTTTCAATTTGGCTATGTCTTATAATATATAATATTTGATATTAACGAAATGGATTAATCATGTTGTATGCACCTGTTTTAGAAATAAAAGTTTTTTTTCTAGAATTTTTTTTTTGCATAATTTTTGCATGTTACAATACAATTACATGATACAATTTTGTGGGTTTTAACAAGCATTGAATATAGTTGAGGGTTTTGAATATAATTCGAATATAAATTGGTTCATGATCGATGATTTTTCTCAACTACCTTATACTCTAATAAGACAATTGGAGCCGTAATGGCTAATAGGATAGAACGTTCGTCTTGCAATGAGGTGAACCGGGTTCGAATCCCATCGACTGATGATCGTTACAAATCCGCATCCGGTTTGCACAGACCACAGTGATGACGTGAAATATCCTCAGTGGTAGACGGATCATGCGCTAGAGTCCCCTTGCTTTTAGGCTAACTGCGTGAGGTTTTCGTGGTTTTCTTCTCCATGTAACGCAAATGCTGGCTAGTTCCTTCAATAAGTCCTCCACGAAGGCACATTTCTCCCAATACTAGATTCAGTAGTTCCCTACAGGCCGGGATAGCCTGGTCAGTAGGGCGCTGGGCCCATGTTCGAGAGTTCGTGGGTTCGAACCCCGCCGGCCGAAGACTCATCGTGTAGTTGGTGACTGATGCACGTTAAAATTCTGTCGAGTCGCAAAGTCCTCCATGTCCCCATACCAAATCAATACCACTGGGGGCACTGAATTGGAGATCAATCGTTCTCTGATTCAGGCCAAAATTGCGATCTGTGGATGAGGGAATAGATCCGCCTTATAATCAGGTGTGGCACATGGTGTGGCAGAAGTCAAATTCTTGGCCATAGATGGCGCCACTGAAAAACAAGAACACCACACTCTGCCTTAACTTTGCTCACCAAGCAGGCTTCACCAAGCAGGCTTGACCGTGTGGCAAGTGGCATTAGAACCAACCAACCAAACAGGAGTTCCCTTGTCTTCTGGTTTGGTTTCAAAATGGCAAAGCTCTGGCGTTGAACATTAGTTGTCGTAAACCCAAAAATTTGGTCAGCTGTTCATCGACGGTTATAAAGTAAGGTGATTAATCAAGTGATAAATACTTTACGCTCTAATAAGACAATTAAAAGGTTACAATCGGAATTAACTTTTTGTTTTATCAGATGTCATTTCTCCCCGAAATCAAAAATTTTTGTTCATATTTTTTATGCTTTATAATTTAATGTCATGATATATATTTAACAATGTGTTTTTTTTATTTTGTTGTTTTTTTACAGTTGTAAATGACAGTGCACGACTTCCAGACCCCAGTCTTCTAGCGGCGAGTTTCACACTCTTGTTCTTGTGCCATTTCACCGTCTGGTGATGAACTTTCAACCTCATCCAGACTTTGAACAATGTTTCTTTAGGGGACTGGAAAAAAAACACTTTTTTCCACCGTCTGTGTGTGCGTGCATCTCATTCTCTTGCTGGAACTTCCAAAGTGGCCTTCATACACAGAATGCTTAAGGACGTCTTTACGAACAGGAAGACTCGAGGACGAGATAGTTCGTTCGTAAAGTTAAAGAGATGACTCTTGCAAAAAATCATATCAAAAACTTCCCATGCTCATGACTGCATCCTGTGGTGTGTGTAATCTATTACAAAAGACCTAATCTCTGGTTCAGAACAACACTTCAAGACTCCTTCGTGGCTTTAGTTTTTATCGTTTCGATTTATAAACTTTTGATAAATGTTTCACAGTTCCTGATAGTCGTAACTAAAAAAAAAGTTATTTTAAAAATCATGGACCAAAAAGAAGTTATGTTTACTATCTATTGAATGGAGGCTTTAAATCCGTATTTTAAGTTGGTAACTCTGTGTAAATATTTAAAACTCACGCATTGAATTATATAATTTACGCAAATATCTTAACGGAATATGAAAACATCGCTTTACATGTCATTCTTGATTCTCAAAGCACATTTTTCATTTATTTTATAAAAATGTTTAGGAAAAGGAACTTTAAGGGCAACTATTAAATTCCCTAATATCTAATAATAGAATAAAGAAAGTGTTTTTTTAATTGCCGAAGCAGAATAAGATTTCAAAGTTGGAAGAAACTATTTTTCGAAAAGCTAGTTCCAGAAGAAAGTACTGTGCGTTAAGGTTAGCAATTTTCGGTTTGCTAACTCTTCCTTTCCCGTTTTGTTCTCTGCTACATAATTTATATTACCTATCTAAAATCAAACATTTTCAAAAAGTAACAGTCTAATTCCTTACTCACTGAAATTTTAATTGCACTAATTGTGTTACAGTTCCTTCAGAATATTTTGTAGGAAGATAGAGTTCTTGACCTACTCAAACGAAACTTCACCAGTAAAATTCTGATGTTACATCGCAATAAAATAAATTAAAATGTTTTTTTTTTTTTATGTTTGGTATATTTTTTAAGAAAAACATCTGGTTCAGCATGATGTTAAGTCCTGATATTTTGCTAAAAGAAAACATTGTAAAATTAAAGAGGAACATAACTTTCCTGAAAAGATAAACATTGATATAGATATTTTGAATAAAAGAAAGTGGTTGTAATTACAGATTGCAAATTTTAGATTACATACTGGTAAAAAAAGTCCAGTTTCATATGAAATGAGAGCATTGTAGGAATAAAGTTCTAGGAAAATTTAAAATGGCTATTTCTAAGAATACAGGATAATTCAAAATGTACTTCAAGTTAAAAGCACTAAATAACCATCTAATAATAAGTTGAAAATTACCGCTTTGTATATCATCCAAGAAAAGAGTGGTAATAAATAATATCGTAACGCATCACTTTATACTATAAACTAAACGAACATAAGACTGGATCTTGCCTTTAGGTTCTTTAAATACAGGCGCCCATTAATGGGAAGGAGTTTTTAAAAAATAGTGCCAGATGAAGTTCAAGCAATATCATGTCTTCAGATGGTGATAAGATGTGATTTTGAAATTTGTAAGTTTTTTTCAAAAAAAACGTACAATAAATTCATTAAAAAACAGTACATTCTTACAAAAAAGAGCTGTGCTTAAAAGGAAATATTTAATACAAGATGAATGAATTTTTGTATGTCTAAAGCATGCTCATAGGATTGGTTGGAATAACAACAAACAACAGTTCATGATGATAAAAAATATGTTTGTATGATCATTAATAATTTTTAAAAACTATACTCATTTGGAAAAACTGCAATTTAAAAAAAACGGAAACTAATTACCACTTTTTCGTTTTCTTTTCAGAAATTTTTAGTTGAAAACGAAAGCTATTAAATGGCTATTTATATCCAAGTGACTGGTTACAACGGCATAAGCACAAATTCTTAAATTGCAAAATTTTTACAAAGTTTAAATAACAGAAGTGAATTCAACTTTACATTTATAAACATAGGATACCCCAAAAAGTTCATAGCGACACTCTTATTTCTAAAATGCTTTTTTTACTAGAGATATTATTTAAATAAGTTTTATTACATCTTTATACGAAGAAGATGCTGGAGTCTAGGTTCTTAAGCAACAAATCCTAATTTCTTGAAACTGCAGGGTTAACAAATTTCGTATATTTTAAATGTATTACGGGTCAATTTCGGTTAAAGATTTAAATTGTTTGGTATCAGTTTACAATGAATTGAAAAGTAATGGCAATATGGATGATTTAATAAAAAAGTAAAAAAATGCCGAAAATAAAAATTAAGAGTTAGAAACAAAACCTGAGAATTTCAAAAAGTTTTATAGAACCACTTCACTTATTAAATTATTATTATTCACTTATTTATTCACTTAAATATCTAGTTACGTTTGAATAATGACAATAAATTCGGGGTCAACAGCCTGAAAAGGTTGGGATATTAAATTGATATAATTTTTACAGAGAAGTGTACATCACAACAGTTAGATGTGTCAGTTTTGCATTGTATGTTCCCATTAGCCTTGAGGGAGGGGGTTGCCCATGTGCTCTATAATATGAAACTGTTTACAGCACCACCTGTTGGAAAAAACACGGTTTTAGCCTTTCTATCTTGAAAACGGATACGAGATAAATTACGAAGTTAGAGAATATTGATTTTGTACTTGGAAACATTAATGCTAAAAAATGCCTAAAAAGGCATTGGTTTGTTCGGAACATCCTGCATTGTGACGGAATGATATAAAAAGAAAACAAACAACTGGCTATCACTTGATATCTCTATTTTCAATGGATAACGCTTAAAAAAGTTTAAAAATTCAAAATAAAAGGACCATCTAGTGATTTTTTCTCCTTAAGATCGTTTCATCATGTATCAAAACAAAATCATCACGTAAGAAAATTGCGAATAAATAAATGTGCGTTCTTTTCTTAGAATCGATTCCATAAGGTGTCTATTCATAATAAATATATCGTACCATTTTTGAGATATAATACTAATTTTCCGATTTCTCACCAGGAGGCGGCCTAATCTTCTAAAGCATGGCCACTTTAATGTGCCAAGGCACACCTCTCAGAAAAAGCAATTGGTTATTCTTTTTTTATTCTATGTTTTAAATTTAATTTAAATATTTAATTTTGTCAGATAGATCCAAAAATTATGTCAAGATTCATAACTTCCTTAAATTTAATAACAGAAGAGTTTTGGTTTTAACACTTTTAAATTTAAAGTTCTTTTTTTCTATTTTANGTTCGTAAACTTAAAGAGATGACTCTTGCAAAAAATCATATCAAAAACTTCCCATGCTCATGACTGCATCCTGTGGTGTGTGTAATCTATTACAAAAGACCTAATCTCTGGTTCAGAACAACACTTCAAGACTCCTTCGTGGCTTTAGTTTTTATCGTTTCGATTTATAAACTTTTGATAAATGTTTCACAGTTCCTGATAGTCGTAACTAAAAAAAAAGTTATTTTAAAAATCATGGACCAAAAAGAAGTTATGTTTACTATCTATTGAATGGAGGCTTTAAATCCGTATTTTAAGTTGGTAACTCTGTGTAAATATTTAAAACTCACGCATTGAATTATATAATTTACACAAATGTCTTATCGGAATATGAAAACATCGCTTTACATGTTATTGATTCTCAAGGCACATTTTTCATTTATTTTATAAAAATGTTTAAGAAAAGGAACTTTAAGGGTAACTATTAAATTGCCTAATATTTAATAATAGAATAAAGAAAGTGTTTTTTTTATTGCCGAAACAAAATAGAATTTCAAAGTTGGAAGAAACTATTTTTCGAAAAGCTAGTTCCAGAAGAAAGTTTTGGTTTGCTAACTCTTCCTTCCCCTTTTGTTCTCTTTTACATAATTTATATTACCTATTTTAAATCGAACATTCACATAATATTCTCCCGTACAATTCTTGTGTTACATCACAATAAAATAAATTAAAATGTTTTTTTTTTTTATGTTTGGTACATTTAAAAAAAAACATCTGGTTCAATTCTGAGATGAAAAACATGATGTTAAGTCCTGATGTTTTACTAAAAGAAAACATTGTAAAATTAAAGAGGAAACTAACTTTCCTGAAAAGATGAACATTGATATAGATATTTTGAATGAAAGAAAGTGGTTGTAATTACAGATTGCAAGTTTTAGATTACATACTGGTGAAAAAAATCCAATTTCATTTGAAATGAAAGCATTGTAGGAATAAAGCTGTAGGAAAATTTAAAATGGCTACTTCTAAGAATACGGGATAATTCAAAATGTACTTCAAGTTAAAAGCACTAAATAACCATCTAATAATAAGTTGAAAATTACCGCGTTGCATTTCATCCAAGAAAAGAGTGGCAATAAATAATATCGTAACGCATCACTTTGGACTATAAACTAAACGAACATAAGACTGGGTCTTGCTTTTAGGTTCTTTAAATACAGGCGCCCATTAATGGGGAAGAGTTTTTAAAAAATAGTGCCAGTAGTAATAGCAGCGGTATAGTAGGCGGAAGTGGCGTCATCGTAGAAAGTCAAGGGGTGCTTATTTCTGCCTAAGTGGAAAACGAAAATACGTCATAAATAAATATCGTTGCCCCCCTCAAAAAAGTAATAAATGAAAATAATAACAAAAACGAAATTATATTTAAAACAAAAACCGAGAATAAATACTATAGGCGGGCAGAAATAAGCAACTACTGGTTAGTATGCGGGCAGAAGTAAACAACTTCCGGTTTGCAGACGGGCAGAAAAAGCAACTTCCGGTTTACATCCGGGCAGAAAAAAGCTACTTCCGGTTTACAACATGCTTTCGTTTTCCACCCGGGTAGAAATAAACTCCCTTTGACTTTCTATTATGACGTCACTTCCGCCTATTATACTGCGGCTATTACTACTAGTGCCAGATGGTTCAGACAATATCATGTCTTCAGATGGTGAAAAGATATGATTTTGAAATTTGAAAGTTTTTTTTTTAAAAAAAACTTACAATATATTCATTAAAAAACAGCGCATTCTTACAAAAAAGAGCTGTGCTTAAAAAAAAATATTTTATACAAAATGAATGAATTTTTGTATGTCTAAAGCATGTTTATAGGATTGGTTGGAATAACAACAAACAGCAATTCATGATGATAAAAATTATATTTGGATGATCATTAATAATTTTTAAAAACTATACTCATTTGGAAAAACTGTAATTTAAAAAAACGGAAATTAATTACCACTTTTTCGTTTGTTTTTTTCCACAAATTTTTAGATGAAAACAAAAGATATTAAAGGGACTATCAAAGTGACTGGTAACAACGGCATAAATAAAACTTCTGCAATTGCAAAATTTTTTTACAAAGTTTAAATTACAGAAGTGAATTCAATTTCACATTCACATACATAGGATACCCCAAAAAGTTCATAGTGACACTCTTATTTTTAAAATATTTTTTTACTAGAGTAATTATTTAAATAGGATTTATTACATCTCTTTATCCGAAGATGATGCTGGAGTCTAGGTTTTTATGCAACAAATCCTAATTTCTTTTAACTGCAGTGTTAACAAGTTTCGTATATTTTGAATGCATCACGGGTGAATTTCGGTTAAAGATTTAAATTGTTTGGTATCAGTTTACAATGAATTGAAAAATAATGGCAGCATTGATGATTTAATAAAAAAGAAAAAAAATCCCGAAAATAAAATTACGACTTGGAAGCAAATTAGAGACCTGTGGGTTTCAAAATGTTTTATAGAACCACTTCACTTATTTAACCAAGTCACTTGCTTCTCGGTTGCTTTAAGATTTTATTAATTGTGAACAGCAATTGTTACGCATTGTTTTGCTGAAATGACAATAAGCAAAAAAAGGAGCACAACTTATTAAAACCAGTCATGCTTTAGAGTATTTATTGTTAGAGTCGAGCGGAAAAAAAGCGTTGGAAACATAATCTGCAAAAAAGAGCAACAATAAATAAAGTAATAAAAAAAACGACATAAAAAAATTAGCGACGCAAAATTCAGTGTGAAGTAACTAAATATTATAAATTAATAAAATTTGTATTAATGAAATATTCATAAATTAATTAAATATTATTTAAAATTTAATTAGTATACAAGGTTTAGAATGAAGTTTGTGTGAGAAAAGGAGCGTTTCAGGTTTCATACTTTTTAATACTTTTATTTCAT